ACACATACTACAGATGAATTGTCATTGTGATCCAAAACTCAGTGTTTTATTTTATTTGGAGGGATGCTTCACCTACAACGCATATCGCTCTGATTATTTATGCAGCTACTAGTTTGATTTTATACACCTAGAGTATTGAATGTTTCCAATTCCTACAACATACTTAGAAATATATGTTTTCTACAGGGTCTAGTATAAACTTTTGCATTAGTATTGATCAGTGATAAATGAGATTGGTTTAGGAAAGTCTGCACCCATCTGTAAACTGTTTAGCTTCTGTTTGGATGACATGATAGTACTGATACTAATGATGTAAAAAGCTTTAAAAAGCAGTCTTAAGTGTTTGAAACACACTGGGACTCCACCATTTGGAAGTAGATACACTATTTACGGTGCCACAATTTAATAGTGTTGTGAAGCACTATTTTAATCATATTTACTTGGCATTAAGGCACCACTGATTTCACTGGCACTTACTTCGATATGTGAGTTTTCAGGAATTGCAACTTAGTATTCTTCTGTATTGTTTAATAGTTACCTTACAATTGCTAAAATCCAGTGATACATGCATGCACACTGAAATAAGGACATCAAGAGCTACACTCTATAAAACTAGCTTACATTTTTCAACTCCCTACATTAGAAAACAGTAAGGAACATTGGACATTAAATTGCTTATAAAAATATTATAATTCTGCCAGAACTACTTGCTCTATTTCCAATGGCCAAATGTCTGTAGTCCGAAACTAAAGCTCCATGGCTTATTACCACCATTTCTGCTGGGCTCCCAGGTAAAAGGTATTCACCACTGGGGAAATGGTCTCCAGGCTCAACTGCTTGCTATGAAAAAAGAAAAGAACCCTCTGCCACCTCTCCCCAGTGCTCCTGATCCCAAGGACAATAGCAAGGTATTCCTGCTATGTGGTGAAAGCGACAGGAGAAGTAAAGAGGAGTACAGAGATTGGTCTCCTCCACTATCCACTTTACCTGCAGTCTTAACTCTCCTGACATGAAGGGAACTACCAGCATTGGTGCCAAAGGAGTGAGAAAGAAAAAGATGAACAACTATTCCTTATACAGAAGGTTGGTAAATGCACTATAGCCCATTATTTGTGTGTGTGTGTGTGTGTGTGTGTGTGGCCAGTGGTACAATAGTAACTATTAGTTTACAGTAGCTTTCTATTCCCATCTTTCACAGAGAAAGCTAAAACGTATACTAAATAACTTATACTTTGCAGTCATCTAAACTTTCCCATTTTGTTCTACCTTTTCCAGCTCATTCTTATGGATTTTGCAGCTGGGATATACTGTTTCCAATAACCTCTGAAACAAACTGGTATCAAAAGCATAATTGAAGTGATTTGTTCTAAATTAGGCACACATACACCAAATTAAGTTTGAAATACAAATCATACTTCAGTCATTTGAAAGTATGCTTATTTGTCAGAAGAAAAACACAACTTTGAACATGACTGAGTATAATGCTATACATTTTGAAGATCAGAATAATAATTCTAATTAAGTACACAGACACAGAAATCAGCATACAACAAGAAGTTTAATGCACAAACAGAAAAGTAAGGCTAATGAGATTAACGACAAGGATTTATGATACTGGAATTAATACATCTCAAAGGTAAGGGGTTTCTGTGTTTTTCAAACAGGAGATCCTACTCCATTCCAAAATTGATTTGGAACTGAGGGACAGTTCAAAAGCACATAGGTGCAGTAAAAAAATTCCATGAAGCCCCTGAGTATGCCTAAAGCACCTATTTGTGTCCTGACATAGAATCTGAATAGCTGTGTACCTGCAAAGCTATTCTGAATGTACACTGCACATATTTAGTTTTGCCTGTTGCTGCAAAGTAGCCAAGATGACAGAAACAAATTGTTTCTGTAAAATGATAGTCTGTAAAATCAGTCACATACCAAACAGAAGAAGCAGGTTTAAAATGCAGGTCCGTTACCTACTTTCTGCCTCATTTCCCAACATCAGCACTGTATGTATCTGGATGATATTCCAATTTTTACTCAAGAGTTCTTTACATACCTAACCTTCAGAAAGACAACTGAAATGCAACCTTATAGGTTTACACTAACTAAAATTCTCAAATGTGTATTTCATTTCACAAAACACAACTAAATTAAAACATATACTGTAGGTTTAATAAGAGCTTTCATAACACAATGCACTACTTTATGGATATGGCATACAGTAGTTGTGTTCTCTCTCAATGCAGCACATGCTTGTGTTGTGTTCTAACCTGTGTTTTCAGCTGAGCTCATACAGGACCACACAACTTTGTTATAATCAAATAATGAAAAGACATCTCCTTGCACTCAATATGAAAGCTATTAATAATACTATAGCAAAACTCATTTGTTTGAGGAAAGGGGGAAGCACCGTATTCCGGAGTTCTGATAGCAGCCAATACAGGCAATGTGGGAATTCTAAGCAATAATACTGCTGTTCAGCATACAGACAGAAAAGCTGCACAAATTGCCAACTTTGTTCTTATGGCAATGACATACCTAGAAATGTTTCTATTTATCAACAGTCTTTTTTCTCCAACATTAATATCTCCATATACTCTAATGATTTCAGCATTAATATGAAGTATTTTACAACTATATATGCTTTTAAACTTGTATTAAATATGTTTTAAGGCATCAGAACAAGAACACAAAAATAAGGCAGCTAGGGCTTCTATTAGCTAGAAAAAGATGCAGCACTGTGACGCAGCATTATAGGGGGGAAGACCACTAGTTTGTTTCCAAAATGAGGTTTACTACCATACCACATGTTAGTATATTTTAAATTACTTCTCTGCATGTCCATATTCTGAACACATAAAGTAAGAGTCACTATCATATTTCCACATTCTAAATATGAAGTAATGTATCTGTACAATCTAACCTCTAGATAAAGTACTTCTGGAGATTAAATTTGACTAGCCCTGGTTGCAATATGCTGAATATACTTAACATTTCTCCAAACACGGCTAAATTAACGTTACACTTAACATCTCCAGTTGACTAGTATTTCACTGAGGATTCAATCAAAATAGGCATTATAGATCATTTATTACTAGTCAAAAGCATGAGGCAATAACTACCTTTTTAAAGGAGGTAACAAGCCTAGTAAACAAACCAAGTAACCATTACAAGACACTAAGATTTGTCTAGTATACTTCTCAAATAAGGTAGGAAGATATGTGATAGCTTACCAATATTATAAAAGAACAAAACAACTAAAATATGCTTACTGGATATTAAGAGTAATGCAATTCTCATAGGCAAAGGAATCATTCACTGAACACAACTACATAAAGGATGCAATCTTGAGCATATTCACTGTAATCCTAACCCCTGTAATCTGGGAGTAAACTCCATTTAGTTCAATAAGACTTCTGAGTTAGGAATCTCAAAATAGGACTTACTTCTGAGTAAATATGTGCAAGATTGTACTGACTTTTAAGCGCAGGCATGTCCACTCAAAAATTAAAACTACTCTTACAGTGTGCATAGGGTTGCAGGCTTTAAGATTTTACTACATAGCTTCGTTCTGTCTAAGAATGACCTGACATGAATCTAAATACCACTGTGTAGCATAGTATGAAGAAATGAGTATATACTGCGTTACCTATGTAGTATTTGCTTTTTGGCCAGAGCTTCTAATTCTGCTTACCAGTACAATGGAACCTGTTGATTTTCAGGTAAGTGCAATATCCCAATAAATGGTGTAATTAATGCTGCTTCATTTGAAATCCAGTTCCTAAACTTACTACAGTGCTCTTAAGGAGAGTGGATTCAAGAAAAAACATTGCTCAGCACCAAATGCTTAAAACAGCTTTCTGAATTATGCTAAACCAACCAGTATTCAAACTAAAATACAAGAAAATGAAAACAACTTGTTATGCATCAAATAATATCAGCCATTTCCCCCCTGACTTCATATATGAAGTAGTGCTAACAAGTTCAATGTACAAAACTGGCTACCATCAGTAACCCCAATGCCCAGATATGTGGCTGAAGAGCTCCTCTCCTCTAATAAAGTTAGTTAAGAACTACTGCACTGTTTGATCACTTACTCCCCATACCTATACCTTCAGAAAAGCAATACCAGTACTTGTATAGCCAGTTGCATTCTACAGTGATTTAGTTCCCTGAACTTCTAAAACAACCAGTAAACGTTTGTTACCAAATGAACACCTGTAACTTGCATCCATAATTTCTAAGGAGTTCTAGAGTTCTAACTAGCTGGCTTTTACGAACCTCAAGAAATATCATATTAAAATACAGACAGAAGAGTTAAGAATAGTTGTACTCATCCTCACACATGCAGAGAGACTATATGGGAATTTCAGACATTTTGGTCTCAAAGCAAGGAAGTAGAAGATGCAAAAGAAAAAGGTGGCTCCATAGTTTCTCAAGGCAAATCAGGTGAACTATTTAACAAAATGTCAATACAAACATTATTCACGACTCTTGACCAAACAGAAATGTTGGCATTTAAGAACGCTTTGTGGTTATGAAAGAAATGGTGGAGGAAACAAACTATCCATCATAATACTGCTCAGAGCAAAAAAAAAAATTTCAAGACTGAATGCCTCATCTTTAAAAAGCAAGATTTTACAAAAATCAGTACTCTACATGCACAAAAATGTAGATAACAGTTGCCTAATGATTTACACTATAACTAGAGTTTAGGATTGTTAGTGTTTTTTTAACAAGGGTTTCATTTGCTGCAGAACAGTGAAACGGGCAAGCAAGTAACACAGACATGCTTATAGCCCCTTCAATGAAAGGGCAGCAGCAGCAATTAAACACCCAATGTGATTAATGCAGCAAGGTGCAGAGAAAAGTAGGTACACAGAAAGGCAAAAAGAGACAGTATAAGAAGGGTACTGGACAACAGACTGTGCAAAACATGGGGACATTCAAGAGGAAAGGAAGGGAAGGGACCCATATGCAGTGAGGTAAAAGCAAGAGAGACTGACCTGTGCCATCGCTTGCAGAGACAGAGAGCGCCGGTGAGGAGAGTTTAGGCCTCTTGGCTGAAGGCGGGCCCGACTCCACCACATTCTCGGCCATTTTTAATTCTTTTTAGACAAACAGAGCCCAAATTAAAGATGGGGTTCGTCAAAGTCGTCTGCCTTCTTCTTGGATCCGGAATCAACCGAACAACAGTAAGAGAAGGAACTGAAGAAGAAAGGGACAAAGTTCCTCTTTTTCTGCCCCTCGGGATCTATCTCTGTTGGGTAGCAGCGACTAAGGGGGAACAGAGATGGGAAATAGGGTGTGGAAGCAGTCTTTCCTCCGGCCCACAGGGAAAAACAAGGATGAAAAGAGCAGAACAAACCCTTCTCCGAACACAAATATGCGGGGTTGGTGGGTTTACAAATCGAATTAAATCCGGCTGTGGGGCTGCTGGTGCTTCCTCGCCGCCGCCAACACCACCATCTTCATCCTCCGGGGGGTCGTCGTCTTCTCCTCCTCCTGCTGCCTCTTCGCCGCCGCCATCAACCTCTTCCTCCTCGGCGTCGTCCTCCTCCTCCTCATCGCCACAAGGAGGCGGGCGAAGGAGGAGAGGAGAAAAAAAGGAGAAAGAATCTCTCTCCTCTGCTCGCAGTTCCTTCCCTCTCCTTCCAAAAACCAGCTTGCAATGCGGGGGGGGGGGATGCCCACTGCTAGTGAAAAAGGGACTGGGGAAGGGGGTCACAGACGGAGCGTGTCGAGGGTCCCCAACTCCCCCTGCGCCTTTCTCGCCAGTCACTAATGGCTGCAGAAAGGGGAGCCGTAAGGAGGAGGAGGAGGAGGATGAAGCTAAGTCCCAGGAGTCTCCGCTTCACATCTTGTTGTGCAGGAACAAGGAGGCGGAGGAGGGGTTGTTGTCCCGATGGAGGCAGCAGAGATCCCGGGATGGGGGCTGGAGAGGGTGGGCTTCAGGACTCGCACCCCGCGCCCCCACCTTTTCTTCCTTTCTTTCTCTGTAGCAGGGTGCCCCCCTTCTGGTCAGATGGAGGGATCGATCCCAGAGCAGGAGGAGGAGAAAGCAGCGGCGGCGGCGGCCCCTCCCCCCTTCTCTCTGCCTCTTCCCCCTCCCTGGGGGGATAAGGATGGTTGCGAGCGCTTGGTCTGCGGAGAGGACAAGACTCTCCTCGGAACCGAAGACGCGATGCCTCAGGCGTTTCTGGAGCGGCTCCGTCTCATGTCCGCCATGTAGGACCTGGGGAAGAGGGAAGGGGGGGGCGCAGAGAAAAGAAACAGCTTTCCAAACCGGAGCCAGGCGGCCTCCTGACCCCGCGAACGGGCTCAGTAGCCAGGAGAGGCTGTGGGTGGGGTCCACCCGGGGTCCCGAGTCACTAGCCGAAGCCGGGAGTGCGTACTCCCCTACTGGCTGCGAGGCTGGTGTAGGGGGTGTATCACGGAGGTTTCGGGTTCCCTCAGGTCTGGCCGGCCAGGGGCCCTGAGCGGCTGTCGGTCTCTGTCGTTGCTTTTCCACCTCCCAGGCTCTACCCGCCCAGCTCGGTCCCTCTCGTTCGCTCCCTCCCCTCAGTCGCTCACACACAAACAAAATGGCGGCTGTTGTTTCTTCACTCTCCCGATTCCTCAGAGGGAAGCGAGCGGCGGCGGCCGGAAATGAGCCAAGAGAAAAAAGGGGCGTGGCCAGAAAAAGGAGAGGCGGGGACGCACGCAGCTCGCACACACAATGGAACGCGGAGGGCCGAGGAGGGGGAGAACCCGAGGCGGGGTCAGCTGCGGTCACGAGACTTGCTCAGCCACTCGCCTTGCGCTCCCGGAGCGATCCCTTCCGCAAACTCTCTTGCCTCCGCCTCTTAAAGGGGAAGGAGAAGCTGCTCGCCCGCTTCCCTCCGCCTTTACTTGTGTTTTCTGTCGGCCAAAATAGACCGCGAGGTTGCTGCTTGGGACAGGCCTATTGTAATGGGGGAAGGGGGGGCGCTGAGCTTGTGTACTCTGGACCTGGCATTGCCCACGGTGCGCATCGGAAGCCCTCCGTATGAAGACAGGCCCTGGCTCCTCTCTTCCCTCCTTTGCTGCTGCAAAGACAGCGGCCCAGAGTCACAGCCGAGGGGTGGTTTGGTGGGGGGCGGCGGAAGAGAGCAGGGTTTGGCCGGCCTTCTAGCTTCTCATGTACGGTGCAGGCACACACACACCGATGTGATGAGGACGACGACTCAGGGCGTACGTGCACATATAGACATAGGACATGAGCCGTAACCTGTGATAGTATGAGAACAAAATCATCACACAGCCTCAAGGTGGAGGCGCAGAGGTCTTTTTATCAAGCGATCTTGCACAATTGCATTTTCCTGCCAACATCCATGTCTGTTCCTCGTAAAGAAGGAAAATTCACTGCGGGGGGAGGGCTTTATTACGCGAAAAGACGTGGGGTAGCATTGTGCTGGGACTGATACGTATTCCCTGTAATGCCGCGAGTCTGGTTTATAACGCTACGCCTATGTTTTTATCGTGATTTGCCACCGCGCTCTTTCGTACAAGAATCCATAATGCTCTCTTAAGGCAGGGATGGGGGGGGTCACAGTAAAGTAATGTATAGACTAGGAGAGCCTTCCGTCGTTCGGTATGTTGTGTGTATACACATGAGCCTTTCTCTGCAGACTCCCGGGAGAAACAGCAGCACCTTCTTCACATATTCATTCCTTTGTAAAACGTAGAGAAGCGAGAGGGTTCCGTGTTCTTTCCTTTCCCTCTTCGTAGGAGAGGTGAACAATCAGTTCACAAGACCACTGGACACATGGCTTGCTTCTTCTAGCTTGGTTTTTTATAAGTGCCTGTAGGAAACGCCTCACCTGAGCAGCGCACATACTGTAATATGGAATGCCTGCTACGTTCACTTTTCCAAGGGTTTTCTGGTCTGTGCTTGCGACAGACAGTTCTGTTAGTCGGTTCATCACAATAATTGTTTTATTAAGGTTAAAAGGACAGAGCAAATCAGAGCATTCCATCACTTGTGTGAATTGGTCTTTATATGACACTTGTAGTGGACTGGACTACTGAAAGTGATCCATAAGATTACTTACGATATTGTGACATAGAAGGGGTGTAAAATCCAGGCAACTGTGGCCCGGACCTAGTTGCTGGAAAGGACAGGACGGTATGTCTCTCCTTGGGTATGTGCTGCTACACAGAACACCGAAGGACAACAGGATTGTGGAACACCACTGCTGTCTCTTGCTCCTTTTGTCTGTGCTTCTTTCCCCATCCCAGTTATTTCTCTCAAGCCTATTTTCAGTGAAGCTTAACTTACGTTGCTCTCAAACTTTGATGGAGATGTGTGAGCAGCACAAGCAGGAGCCAGGAAATCATCTTCAGTAAGAGGGGAGATACAAAAACAAACCCAAGCAGGACTACTGACACATCACTCCCTTTTAGTCTAGTCCTAGTACAGCTTGCAGTTCCTAAATTTTCTGTTTCGTTTCATGTATCTGCTGCTTTTCCACAGTGGACTGTGCCCAAAGCAGCTCACAATAAGCACCAGATAACAGAAAAGACCATCTAAACAATTCATTACAAAACATAACAAATTTAAATAAGGGGAAAATGAACCATTCTTCCTCAAATTATTTTGCATGCAAAAAATAATGTCCATCTTCATAGACAGTTCCTGAAATGTGTTTGTGGGTGTACCAAATAGAAAGATTTGAGAAAACTTATCTCCTGCCAAAGTCCTATGCTCTTCTGAAGAATGTCATGATATCAGAGAGTTTTGTCAAAAGTATTTGCGCCCTTGGTAATCCACTGCCTGTGAAGCATTCAACTGATCTCATCATTAGGAAAAATAATACCTGGTCTGCGTCACCCAAACTGCACAAAGCTTTAGCACACTAGACAGGAAAACAGTGGTACGTTATGACACAGTAAAAGAATACTACCATACCTGGGCTTGGGGTGGGGATGGGGAACTAGTGCCCTCCAGATGTTGTCACTATCATGGCCAATATCCAAGGATAATGGAAGCTGTACCAGCAATGTCTGGAGGGCCTCATGATTTCTGTTTGAATCCAAGGCTGTGGCAATGGGGGAAGCAAGGTCCTCTTGGGGTTTTGATGCTGTGAACCCCTCCATCTCATGCTCAGGTTGTATAAATATATGATAAAGACACCATAGTCTCTGCTTTGCCTTGCTACCAAAATGAAACACGAACCCTGGGTAAGCGCCTGGAACCCCTGGAATCTCGTAGTGCTCAGAGATTGGGGTGGCGTGCAACAATATTTTAACTTTTGAATGTTTTTTGAGTGTGGTGGTCATTTTTTCTTGGTTTTCATGTTTGAGGTTCTTTTTTTTTTACTTACAATCAAGCAGTGTATACATCTTATGAAATAAATAAAAATAATAAATTATGTGTAGTGAATAGGCTGGAACATCACACCTAAAGTAAAATTTATGAACTAATAAATCACAGTTAAACTTCAAGGGGGGGGGGCGGAATCTGTCTTACCAGGTCTAGTGCTATTCAATATTTTAATTCATTACTTAAAAGAAGGGAAATGCATCTAATTTATACATGCAACAGAACAAAATATGTGAATTTATTGAATAACCCTACACTGAATCGGTCTAAATGTATATTTTTTCCTCAGCCTCCCTTGCAGTTTCCCCCTCTGCCTGGGAAAAACTCCAGAAGGTAAAATGGCAATGGAATGGTAGATACTAGGAAGAGGGGTTTGGGGAATCTGTATATGTTATCATGAGCAGCTGGTGATAGTATTGCACTCTCCCAAAATGTTTAGAGGTACCAAGGCTCCATCTCTCTCTGCAGCAGTGCCTCTGTGCCACCCATGTTTGCTTAGTTATGTCCCACCTCAGTTATGCCTACCTACCTGTCCTCCCAGTTCTAATTTATACACCCAGATACAGCATCTTGCTCCCAGTCTAGGTGGATTATGGTTGATAATCTAGCTTTTCAGCCTGTCAGTTGGTGGGGACTGATTCTGTTGTTGCTGCAACCTGCTACATCTAAGCTTTGCTGTGCTGACTCCCAGCTTGTTTGACCTCAACCCTGCCAATGGTCACAACTTGAAGGAAATGGTGGAATCCACATCTAAAAAGAGGCAAGAGTTTGTTAGGAAGGTTCAAGTGTAGAGCAGAGAATCCTGCTTGTGCACAGAGTTTGGCCTTGAGGTCTCCTTCAGTCCATTATTCTTCATTGATCTATTCCAATGCTTCTAAAGCATCATCTTAACAGTATCTATCAATCTGCTTCCAGTGAAATCTCTAGAATCTTTTGGGGGGGAAATTAAATAAAAAGACTGGTGTATTATTGTGTTCATTTAGAGATTATAGCTATGTGGTACTACTCTTCAGTGGTTCATTCCTATCTGGAAAATTGGTCGCAGAAGGTGGTGCTGGGAGATTGCTTGCCTATCCCATGTCTTCTGGCATGTTAGGTACTGTACTTCAGGGTTCCATCTTGTTTCCCTTGTTTTTTAACATCTATGTCAGTGGTTCCCAAACGTTTCTCACTGTGGACCACTTGAAAATTACTGAGGGTCTTGGTAGACCACTTAATGGCTCTCCTGCTTGTTGTAGCAATTGTAATTAACAGATGCTGTATGATT